GCAAATGTGTATGTGTGTAATGTAATTGCATTATTCCTAATTCAGACAAATTGTAATATAACTCTCGTAACAATGTCACGTGCTAATTCAAGTCGCCGACATTTTAAATAATACTGACAATTATTATAATATAGGATACACTTGACAGCGTGATTTAGAACATCATAATAAATTCAATTAATATACAAAATGTCGAACACGTTCACAATTTACATTCTACGACAGTTGCAGTTTATTTTCATTTAAAATCCTAGTTCGTCGCGCAATGCAATCACAGTGAAATCATTTCTTATACGATATAAATGATATCGCCGATAATCCGCCGATATCAGAATTATCGCGTTCAGTGTTCAAAATTTTTCTACGCAATCACTTTACCATATTTGTAAAATCGTTTGATATTCGTGACGCAATCAGAATGTTATACGCCATATATGAACTTGTTACAAACTACACGTATTTCATGAAATTATATTCATAATATTTATGATATTGATAAATCATTTTCTATATGATGTATCTGCAATTTTCATAGAAAACTTTAAAACGATTAAACGCATATTAAAAATATGCATTAATGTATAGATGAAGAACGTTATCAAAGAAAATACGGGATGGACATGTGTTATACGGAAATTTACGCAAATTATTGGCAAAGTCTAATAAAACTACACTACGTTAAATCCTTACTCTGCTTATATCAAGAATCTGGCATATCGAAATATTAATTAATATCGGCATTTCATTACGTTGAATTGCGTACATATTGATGTAGACACTGTAATCCAATCATATCTCGTTCCACTGAACAGCTCATTCCATAACTACTGAATCGTTACATTATATAAAGTATTATATATATGTTATAAAATTCAACTTTCTATCTCTAGAAATAAAATTCGGATCCTTATAAATTTTTTTTAAGTCTTCAAGCTGCGCTCCAAATCTTTCAATTTTGCGTACAAATTTTATATTCGATATACGAATCCCGTAAAACGCTTAAAGAGCGTAGATTCCTGAGAATCTACCTTTAACATTTTATAACAGAAATTCTAATATCAAAATGTCGAGACTTTAATAGTTATTGAATTATAAGTTATTGAATTTAAAGTTAACGAATCGTACTACCTAAAATTTGCGTGTTCAATAAGTGTGCAACGCAAAGTGCTAAAAGCAAAAGCTAATTATCGCCTCTTGTTAATATCGCTAAAGATTACGTATGAGAGGTTAAAATTATTGATATTTCTAAGTATTGATATTTGTATTAAAAAATTATTATAGCCTCCACATTTCGATATAGAATTTTCATCTCAAAATGATTTCAAGAATTTTCCTTTTTAAGCTTGTACGGTTTTTATGGCACCCTGTATGTATACACACACACGCGTACACACACACACACACACACACACGCACACACATACGCACACGCACACGCAAACACGCACACGCACGCACGCACGCACGCACGCACACGCACACACGCACGCACACGCACGCACACAAATTCGAGGAAAAGAACATATATATATATAATTTTTCCTCGAATTTTTATCGAATGAAATTATCTCTCTTTTTTGAATTATCAATATCTTATCTCCTGTATCGTTAACTGCAATAATAAAACTCATCGACAGCTGTTCATAATATTTACCACAAATTATGCGAAAATTACAGTAAATAAAAAGAAATAGGAGAAAGTGAAGGATTCCCAAACTAAAATGTTCTCTATTGCGAGAACTACAAAATTAGTTATTCATAATTTCTCTCGCAAATGACATTAATCTCTTTTAACCTTCTAACTCGCTATTCTATCCAGAAAAATCGCAACCTCGTAAAAGCAAATCTCTATCAATTCTTTTCAATTTCTCTTATCTTAATTCAATGAATCTCCTATTATTCAAACTCACTCGCTCAAATTTGCATACATGCTGAATTTAGAGTCTCGCGTTATTCAGGAAGTGCTTGGAAATAATTCATTTGCCGAGGTTTAAATTCAACAAATTTATCACTGCCTGTTAACCCGGAAAAGAGACGCCTTCTTTATTCCACAGCGAAAGACCACGGGCGCCACGGGGGAGGTCAAACACAAATTTCATTCCCGAATTTTTGGAATCGCGCAGCTTGCGGCCGGGCGGACCAGGCAGCTGCGAACGTATAACGATGAAGGCGATACGCGGTAAAAGTCGGAGGTCAAAGCGAATGCGCTGGATGCAATAAAAAGGAGCGAAATAGTGGATCGCGAATATGTGGGAACGATTTTTCTTTTTCTGCCGCTCGGCAGCATCAATGCCCCTCGACATTCTCGTTTCAGTGACTTACGGCGTATATTAAATTATTTGTCATTATAAGCTCGCATATTAAGCGACGCGAGAACCGCATTGATCCGCCGAGCGAATGTGAGTCATATCGATTTTCTACGGTACAGAAAGAAAACGGGAATACGAAAATCGACGGGTTCATTAAATACTAAGAAACTTAATACTATTTTTAATTTCAATTAAAGCTAATCACTAATTGCTTGTTAAATTGAAAGTTCAATTCGATTGATTGTAATTGTCGATTACACGTTGTTTGCACACACATTGAATACATATATATTCCACATTACAGGAGAAGGTGGATAATTTATTAATATATATGTCTCTCAATACCGGCATATTAATTCAGATAATGCATTATATTCGGAACATAAGACAACGTAAATATTATGTCATATCATGTTATATTATATATATCACATTAAGATTATATCATATTATATCATATATTATAAGACATCTTAAAAACATGTCTTAATTTTAGACATGCTATTTGAAAAGATTTTTTATGAATTATGATGAATTATGATGCATTATTCAATCATTTTTACTACACTGAATTAATATACATTAAAGGCTGCTTTATATAAAGTATTTAAATACAGTAATGGCATAATATAATCAACTTATACACTAAAATAATTCATACAGAACCGTGCAAAAATAATTTTGCCATTCCAGAAGTGTGCATAGCAGTGCAGAAGTGTGAGTAGTTATTTGTATGTGCAGGAATTCAAAAAGAGAAAACAAGAGAAAGAAACCGATATAAATACTAGATAAGTACTAGATAAGTACTAGATAAAGTCGTACTTTTTTCCATTTTTAATTTTTACAATAAGAAAAAAATAAAAGAATAAATTAATCTATAACGTCCATTTCTATCTCTACTAAAATTATGTCACTTCATTTATTTCCATCAATATTGATTAATTTTAGTCTTTTATCCATTTCTATCAATATAGATTAAGTTGACTTGCTCCTTACTTTTTTTAGTTCTAAGAATTAGAAAAAGAAAAACTATAAGTCAAACCGACATTAAAATTATTTATATCTGCAGAATGGATAGTTAAAATTAATTTATATTGACAGAAATGAACAGTAGAAGATAATTTTAATGAAGACATTGTGAACATTTAGAGTGCTATAATTTCGTCGCACTTTTAGAATATCCAAATATAAATCAAAAATATATCAATAAATTTCGACTTCGCTAGGCACGTCCCTGAATACACATATATTTTGTTAGATAATGTAACAATATCATTATTAAGCACTTAATTGTTTAAAATATTTATATATGTATACGCTTATGATTTAACTTTGCCAATTTCATATATACACACACGTACGCACG